AACAAAACCCCAGAGTTTAAATATATGGCCAACCCTGCAGTTGCCTGAATTAAATGTGAGAGTTATAAAAGCCCACTGGGGTAAAGTGTAGGATTGGTGCTTTTAGCATGTTTGCTAGTGATTAATAAGATTACTTACTTCAGAGCAGGTTTTTTTTGTGCCTATGAAATGCACTGCATTATGCATCCTAGTCCTTAGTTTTATGATCTGGGAGCTGTTTAACCCCTACAGTATATTGCAATGTTCAGTCTTTTAATACAGTATTGGAGTAGAATAGATTGAAGATTTTTTTTTTTTTAAAAGAAAAATCAGGCAAACAAAGTTTGGGGTGTAGTTTGAACTTCCCCAACTACAACACTTGTATAATAAACAAGAGTTTAGTGACTGTTGCATATTAATAAATGCATGAAATTTTAATGCCCATATTTCTAACAGTTGAAATCTCACATTTACAAAGCATTCCCAAGGGACTTTAAAACATGCATTGGTACTTGCAGCAGTATGAAATCTAGTCTCTGGTGAGAACTGCAACTGGTTCTGTGGCACCTTTTATGAATAAAGGTGGATTTTTTTACTTGGAGCACTGATGCAAACACCTATGCATAGGAGAAAGCTAAACATTCATTTGGGAATTCATGGTTGTATATCCTGACAGTCTAAGTGCTTGGATCTGATGCATAGCTATTTGCTATTGCTTTGGTACTAAGGTAATTACAGCTTTTCAATAAGATGACAGTAAAAATTGTAAGGGGTGTTGCTTTTTTTTAAATAATGCAGTAGTTCTCAAACAGGTTGCTGTGCACTGTTAGGACTTAAGTGTGCAAACACTTATACATGAGTCACAAGATAAAGGCAGAGATTTCAAATGGGAACTATTTCTGACCTGCTGTGCTCTGAGTTCTTTTGTAACAGAAGAATTGCTATAATTTCTCTGTACTCAAACTGAGTGAAACCTAAGAGCTGGTACTTTGAGGTGTATCTTTTGAGTCCTAAAAAGGCTGAGAACTACAGCTGTAATAGAACTGGGTCCCATACAGCCTCCAAGAGTTCTCCTGTTACTGGAACTATTGCACAACCAGTTCTAAAAATGCATAAACCATTATTTAAATGCTGTTGATTACGTACCTTTTCTAATTGACTTGAATATCATGTTTAAAGTTATTATAGACAAATCAGGTAGAGGAAGGAGTTGTCCCCTGCTTCAAATAATTGAATTGCAGTTGGACACAAAGCTATTTTCTGTCAAGAAGTTCCTATTTACAATATTGATAATTCAGTACTAAAGTTCCTGTTTTATCTACAACTTATGAGGATGCCTCTTCAAGATGTGTACGTGACTATAAGGTGGAAAGAACCCTTTGTCTTAATTTCAATATTGTTTAACTCGGTTTGGGAAACTGGCAAGTGCTTTTTTCCACCCCCCCATAATGGCTAGGTCATCCACTTTTAAAAGCCAAAGGTGTTTTGTGAACAACTGTGTGTTATAGTTCACTTTTTGGCCCTCTTCCTACCCCATCCTCACTTTGCCACTCTATTCTGTGTACAGATCTTCAAGTAGAATATATTCTGTTCCAGCAAAAAACACAATTCCTTGTCTACTCTTATTGTTCTTTCTCAAAGCAAATATAATACCCATGCACTAATACAACACTATAGCTGAGAGCTTGCACTGGGAACAAAAGCATGGTAATAATTTTGATTTTTACAGACTGAATTCTTCCAGGAAAGAAAATGAAGTTTTAGTCTGTCTTATATAATATTAAGTTTATTTTAGGTGCAGGGAGTGGGTTCCAAACCAACCACACTTGTGTAAAGTAGCTAGGTTCACCCTCCCTACCTTGATTTGAAGTCGAGGACATACGCTTTTGAGTTCACTTGTAAAAACTCTGGCTTAAATTCTCAAATATTATTAATATTGAAAGAGTACCATATTTACTTGCATACCACATTCACTCCCCCCGCAAGAAAAAACCAAAAAACTTTCCAGAATTGGAGCATTTCTTAAGCAGGAAAACTGAATCCCACCCCCCTCCAAGAATAGAAGCATATAGATGCTGTAAAATAGTTGCTATGCCTTACCCCTCCTTGCAGCTGCATGAATGGAGGGGGAGAGTCCAGCAGAAACGGATGTAAGGGGATACAGTGGTGTGTTTGCTTCCTACTCTGATTCCTGCTCTACCCCAAGTTTAAAACCTATCCAGGTGTTTAAAACCAACTGCCTGGAGCAGTTCTTAACACCTGGATTGAAGAGCAATTGGCAGGAATCAAGTAGATAATGAGCCATAAAGTCAATCAACTCCAACTGGTGGAATGAAAGATGTCACTGCTGCTGCAGCCTATATCCTCCAGTAAGTTCTGTTGTGTTTAGCTGTTCAAGGTCAATCAATGCCTTCCTTTCCCATGAGCATGGAGGGGTCAAAAGGTTTGCTCCCCTGCTTTGCAAATGGGAGGGAGCAGGGGGACCATAACGTTCAGCAACACTAGGAATGTTGGGCCCCGTGTGATCCAGAGTAGTTACGAGTTACCTTCAGTTTTCTTTTAATTTACCAAAAGAATATTCCATCTTCCTGCACCCACATAGGTAAGATAAGAGATGCCCAATGAGCTTCAGCTGTGAAAGGATTTAAAACTGTAGCTTTTGCCCGAGCAGGAAAGGGAGGAGGGTAAGCAAGCTGAAGATCAGATTCTATCCCTGCTCTGTATAGTCATAACATGGAGGGGGAGGGGCAGAACACCTAATGTCATAATCCTGTTAATGAGAAACTAGATGTGGCTGTAGGTTTTTTGGTTTTGTTATTTTTTTGAGGAAAATACTTTACGGATGAGGTAGATGGATTGGGGTGGTGGTATTGTCATGGTACAGCTCAAATTTCAGGGTTTTAGAGTAGCTGGAATAAGTGATCCCTTCCACCCCCCTGTAAGCATATAGACAAAGTTGAAACGAAAATGCTCACACGTAGGTAAAAAGTGTGCTTATTGTTTACTGATTTACTTCATGTTTTAATATTTATAAAATAGTTAACCTCAAACTTGTAACACCTCATGGTTTTGAGTTGAAAACAAATATTAGAGTAAGCAGCAAAACAAGCTTCTTAACTGCCTTCCTGTACAGTGCCTCCAACCTGATACTTACAATGGGCAGTGCCTTGAGGGGCACAGCTGGAATTGCCTCCAACCTGCCCACTGTAAGTATCAGTGCTTTGAAGGGCACAACTGGAATTAGGGTCTCCCTTCACTAGACATAACATTGTGTGAAAGTAAGTAATGAATAGCAGGGCATGGAGCAGGTGGATGAAGGAAATAAACCTAAGAGAAGCAGTTCTTTGCAACTTGCACAGCTTGAAAGTCCATGAAAAGTTTACTACTCTTTTGGTAGCATGTCATTTGTTCCACCCCCTCCCTCTGTGATTAGAGACAACTGAATCTCAAGCTGCAATCTGTATCAGATGGAGCTCTTCAAACACTGTGCATGATGGGGGAGGGTGTGACAAATCTACTTCCCCATGTGACCTATGTCGGTTTTGAAGACTTGAGCAAACTGCACTTCTAATAACATCCTTAAGTATGTATTTAACAGCCCTTATTTTCTAAAAAGTGCCAGAAACGATGCAAAGTTTCCCTTTTGAGCAGAACTGTTGGCCTCTAGTCTAGTCTGTCAACCTTGATCACATATCAAAACTAAGTCTTTCCCTGGGGATGGGGGTGTGATCTCTGGATTTGCTAAGGAGCCTTGTGATTGGGAGACCTCTACAAGTGATGTTTCACTAGTTATCTTGCAGTGCTAATTCTGTAGCTATTGTAGTGGAGTGAAGGGGATGCTGACTTTTTGATCAGTGCACTAGTAGCTTTCCTTGGGCACTGGTAATCTTGTTTGACCTACAGAATTTTCACCTTGTCTGGGAGAGCAGAAAAAAAATTCTGGAGGCACCATTATGAGTCTCAAACTTGCTTGTAGTGTAGAACTTGTTGGCACTACAACAGGAAGCTGTAACTCAACATGGGGCTTCGGTGTCTTTCCAAAGAAAACGTTGTGAAAAGCTAATAAGAGTTCTTTTTATTTTATTGAAACTTACCAGAGGTGCAGAAACCGGGTATGTAACCTCATTGACCAAATGAATGTTAAGAAGCCTCAGTGAGTGGTACATAAATATTTTAATAATCATTATGTTGAAGTCTTACCTCCCTCTTTTCTTAAAGATGGTTATTGGATTTTAGTAGTACTTCTGTTATCTTCTTAAGACTTTTTTTTATTTTCTCTCTCCGTATCTCCTGCTTTGCCATTTTTTCCCTACTTCTCTGAAGAGAGCATAATAGAAAGTGTTTTAAATTTAGTATGGTGGGATTAACAATTCTCTCATGTAATCCGTATTACTTGTTACAGGAATGTTAATGTTTTATCAGGCAGATTCTTTTCCAGGAGGAACAAAAGTAGAACTGTTTTGTATTACTGTCATTGTATCAAAGCCAAAATAATTGGAGCATAGATTTCTTGCATCGAAATGGACATTAAGTTTTACTAATCAATAGAAATGCATATTATTGCAGTAACTCCTTAGTACTGCTTGGAACATCTAATTACAAATAGGTTTTTATTAATGGTCAAGTTCCAGGTCCCCAGTGGTTTGTGCTATGCAGATGAATTGGTGATAGTTCCTGCCCCCACAGCTTTCTACTTAACAGGCGCAAAGTGGTTTTAACAGTTGAAAGAATTGGGAAGGTATGACCGTAATAGGAAGTGTGCTAGTTGTGAAGTCTTGTTGTGCAATTGTGATTCTGAATATTTCTTATGTTAGAATTAGTTGTTCATATCAGGACAACCATATGTGCTGGAGGGTAGTTTTATACTAAGATTTAGGAAACTTTCTTGTTCTTCTTAAAGTAAGTCAGCAGGCCCATTGTTCAGCTTTCCTAAACGTTATAGAAGTTCAGTATGTAAGCTAACTAGAAAATGCGTCTTACAAAATATCAACCATCCCTTTTTTCATTTGAATCTATTCTAGAAAATCTCTGAAGTCCATATGGCTATGTATGATGAAGATCTCTTGAAAAACCCTTTTTATCTGGCCCTTCAGAAACGTCGTCCTGACCTCTGTAGCAAAGTTGCGGAATTCCATGGTATTGTAAGTAAAGAAACTTTTTGCTATTATTTTGGAAAAAGCCCAAACTTTTCTGCATCTGAATCCAGTAGTAGGGTATATGCATGCACTGTCCATGGTATTGTGGAAGCGTGTGAGCAAGTTGGCAAATTATCTTAAATTAAAATTGCTCTGTGTAGAATTTATTTTATTGCTTTCACCTTTAAAATTCCATGAGCGAGAATGCATAAGACTAATAGATTAGAATTTGATGGGCTTTCACTCTCTAAAGGGATTTCTATATGTTCTTCTGGGTCCTTCTATGAACTATAAAATAACTGTCTGCTGTGTTGCTTATTTATAAACAATAGCATCAGTCCCATGTGAGAGTGAAGTTTCTGGTTTGCAAGGGAAAGGGAGTAAGCTATTGTTTTGTGACATGAGGCTGTTGCAGTATAAACAACACATACACATTACTGAATGTGAGTGAAGACTGAAGATCTCTGTCAAATCAGGCTTCCATTCTGTTCTTTCTTTATCTTCTACTTTCACTTTATTTGGCTTCTAAAGGCTTGTTTCAAAACTTACTGAAGTCTGTGGACATCATGTCACTGACTTCAATGATCAGGTCTTTGGAGCTTGTACATTATGCTCTTAACCAATTTATGGATGAACTATTGCCTGTCTGTATCTACAGGCTCTCACCAAAGTTGCTAAATTCTTCTCATCGTATCCATTTACAGTGATCAAGCTGTGAATATAGACCTTTAGGTTCAAGACTTCCCTGTTTGTTGTTGCTCATACAAAATTTAGCAGTTCCTATTTTTACAAGCATGTGGCTGGCTGTTCCAAAACTTGTTCCCATTTAAAAATCTATAAATTGGTTTCTTGTGAAGCTTCATATTAAGCATTTTTTGTTTGTTGTGGGGTTTTTTTTGTGTTTTTATTTTTGTATTTAGTACCTTCAAAAAGCATGACTAAAAATGTTACTTCCTTTATCTTGTGTTTTATTTTCTAGCTGCCCTTGCAGGTCTGGCTTAAATAGATGCCTAGCATTCTGCCATAATTAGAACTTTGAGACACTGGGAACCAGAGCATTTTGCAATTGTCTTTTTTTCCTCACAATATTAAAACTTCTCTTCCAGCATTAAAATGTCAACTAAGAACTGAAAATGTGAGCATGGTGACTTATTTACCCCTGTTTTTGAAGTACTTGCAAATAAGGTAGGGTGTTTGGTAGCTTTTCTAAGAATAGTGGTGACTCCTATGAACAGTGGTGAAGTGTCCAGACATGAGATGTGAATGTAATGACAAGACCATACAGAAGCTGTTTTGCAAATGCAAGTGAAAATGACTGACAGCAGTAGGTATTCTGAACACTGGTATTAATCCTGCTCACAGCTGACCTAGACCAAACACATCAACTTTTAAAATACTATCATTATCAGCACTGATGGACATGAAATTTGTTGAAAAAACCACCCTAACACATGAACAGCTTTTTCTGTGCGTGATTTAAAAAAAAAAAAAAAAAAGGCTAACCTTCCCCAGTGATCTGGGTTTCTGTCTGATGTACGTAAAACCTTATTTAGAGGAAGCTTTCTAATCTTAAATAGGTTACATAACTTGCTTATTCTTGTCCTGTTTAAGCATTTATTAGCTATGATGAAGAAAGTCTGTCGGTCTCAGCCTTTCCTTTTGAATATGTCTGAGGTTTCTCCCATGATTAGTTTGTGTTAGAAAGCTTCAAAGTTAAAATGCAAGACCTAAGTTTTCTAATAGGTGAATGATCTGTGGCATACAGAATATGCAGGGCTAGAAAACATGGTGGTTAATTATTCATAAAATAGGTGAGGAAATGTTGAGCTGGAAAACAGTGAAGCTTATATTTGCTTTTTATTCTAAATATCTGGTTTCTGGCAGGGGGAGAAGAGCAGAATCTTCATTATGTACAATCTCTCTGAAATTGGTATTGCTAATACTTTTTTTTTTTTCTTCTTCCCCCCTCCCCGAGATAACCAGGAGGCCTATGCTGTGCCCAGTTTTTAAATAAAGGAGTATTGTGCTCAGCATTTCTGAAATAACTTTACTTTGGAAATCTATTCTGATATTATCTTGTAAGGTTGCCTAACTATGGCAGCTGCAATTAAGACACTACTAGCTTCCTTCTCCCCCACTACTGAATTTTAAAATTTGCAACAATTTAAAAATAAAAAATCCTGGCAATTCTCTACATTTTAAAAGAATAAGAACCATAGGGTGTGTAGTATGTGGGTATTTTATTTTTGTCAGTAAAAGGGGCTTTTCTAAGCAGAGAACAACTGCAGAACTCTGAGAGGGTCTAAAAGTAAAGTACTATTTTGATAAATGTAGATATCTGCAGAAATTGCACTTGCCACTAACTTTAGGTGTGCTTCATGGCTTGTTTCAAGTCTGACAGCCTTGCAGAGGTGACTGCTGCTGCTAATGGTATTGCTTTTTTTATGCCTCGAGAACAAATGCTTTTACTCTTGAGTAGGACTGACATTTCCAGAGAAAGTAATGTTCTTATCTCAAGAGTAGAAATGCTTCGGAAGTAAGCCTGTCTTTCAATATTAGGAGGCTTTTAGTGAGGAGAAACTGAATCTTCATGCTCTTCTTACTTCTGACAATAAGTGAAGGCCTTCCTTTTTTTAGTCGGTTGTATAGAATTAAAAACGAATCAAGGTGAATGTCAGCCTTTGGCTGCAGAGTTGACCTCTTGCCCCTTTTCCTCCCAAAATAAACTTGTCCTGTTGGATCGTGAAGGTTGATTACCATGTGTGCAGTAAAAAGATGTATCAGGATACATCCTTAAAAGCATGCTGACTGGCTGGGGTCAGTAGGGGAGAGAAATTACTCCATGCTGACCAGTCTATTATGGAGTAATTACTTTCAAGCTGTGAACAATTTAAGCAAAACTTCGAAGGTATGTGAAACCTGTGGTGCTGATTTGCTTGCACAGTTTTTTCTGGAGCTTCTGTCATACCCCTAGCTAAGGCCTTCAACCCTCTTCACTTGTGTTTATTGTATGTTGTGGTAGCCTCCTGCCAAAGGTTGACCCCTTGTGTGCTTTGCCCAGGGACCCTTTAGATGTACAATATGTTGGGGTTCTTAAGGCAAGCTTTTTTTAAATCAAGAATGTGCTTTTGTTTAGATTTATACAGGGTAATTTTGTAGTTGCAAGTGTGGAAAGGCAAGATGGGTGTTTGACTTTTCTGGATTGTTTCCTTCGTTTAATTTTCAACATGCAGAAGCCATTGGGACTTTGATATATACTCCATACCTCAGGGTATGTTTAATTTTCTCCAGGTAAAATGTCTTCATGTGACCCTAATGTTTCCTGTCATTGATGGTGCCCATGATTGCATGCTCTCCTATGCTCCACTAGTTTTGTACACTTTTTTTTTTGTGTTGTCATAAGTTCGTCAGATGGAGCTTCTAATTTTACCTTACAGCTTCAAAGTGGGCCCTTTCTAGTAACATGGTAGCAACTTCTTTTGGGGAATAAATATCTAAAAGCTATATAATCTAAACTTTTTTAATTTAGTTAATTGCTTTGGCTATCCTTACAAAAGCCAACTGACCTGTTGCTTATAAAACTATGGCTTTCACACTGGATCAAATTCAGGGAGGCTTTGTTGCGCTCTTGCTGTCACTATTATTTTCCCCCCCACTCCTGCCCCCACACACACCTTTTGAAGTTTGGGGGTTAATAGATAGCGTTGTTCAAAATGTTTGTGCAACTGAAAGATATCTTCTTGGAGAAAAGTACATTCAGGAACAAAAGCAAGCCCATCTGTGTGCAGGTATTTCTATATATATTTGTATGTATATTTGTATTTCAGATGTTGGTTTGTGTAAAGTAGCTGACTAAATCTAAAAGGAAAGGCTGTGTAATGAGAACTCAAGTCATGAGAGCTGGAAGCAATGACATGCAAAATGCTATCCTTTCCTAGATGTCAAAGGCTTTCTTCTTCTTTTTTTTTTTTTTTTTTGTCAGTTGTATAGAATTAAATTAATCAAGGTGACTATCAGACTAAGGCCTTGCTCTAGTGCCTCTTGTGCCAATAACTTTCCAAACATTGCTGACTGACCATTTCCTCTGATGTTCAGAACCTGGTAGGAAGCAATGAAATCATTGATTTCTATGCTCCTGCTGCCAGACGGTACTTCTTAATTAGCAACTGATCTCCAAGTTGGTGCCCAGAGCAAAGTCAAGGGACAGTATCCCGTTGAGTATCCCTGAGGTGTGTTGCTTCTAATTGGCTTCTGGCTATGAGGTGTCTGGTACATCTGCTGAAAGCTCAGTTTGGAAGCTTTATTTTGCTGGTGTGAAATTGAAAATGTGACTAGACCACTGCCTGTGAACATCAGAAAGTGGTGGATGGTCTTCTGAATGGCAGAGCAGGTTCAAGTGTGTTCTGGCTTGACCCCTGGCTAGAGAACCTGTCTGTGTGGTGGTTTTGCATGCCAGGTAGGGGGCTGAGCGTGTATGCATGCCTGATAGTGCTCTATTTTATTTATTTAGTTACTTTTGTAGAGCTGTAGCTTGTAGCTCTACAAAAATGTTTGGGGCTTATATTTGCTGTAGGTATAAAGAATGATGTTGGACTTGCTCAATGTCAATACCATGCCACCTAGTAAATGCTGGAGGGTTTTGTTTTTTAAATTGCCTGATGGTTCAAGTGATTGCCAGTGGGGTTAATCTGTGTCTTTTCCACAGATGCCATAATTCACCTTTACACCCACATCTAATTTGTTAATAGGAGGTGTCTCTACCCTGCTGCTAGTCTTCCCAATGGCACTTTCTTCTGTTGATCTTTTACTTGGCCTTTACTGAGTAAAACACTTAGTGTGTGCTCTTATCTACCTAGTGTTGGCCTCTAATTTCTAAACATCAAATGGTTGTCTTGCTAGAGAGTACTACTTTGGTTACCAAAAAAAAGCCTAGTAGCCTGTTACTTGCACGGTTAGCGTAACGTAACCAAATAGAAAACAATTCTCTTGCTTTTTTACTTTTTGGGGATGTAGTGCTAACCTTCATTATGGTCTTTCACTAACTTTCTGAAAAGAACATTCTTGCCATCTATGCATTAGTAAATGATGTTGCAACAAAACAGCCTATCAAATCTGAGTTATGGGGCAAGGATACTTTGGCCCTGGGGAAGCTGGCATGCTGCTTTATGAAGAGTCCACCTGACTGATTTTTCATTGTTTCTCCAGGTATTAGTACCATGCAAAGGAAGCCTCTCAAGCAACAACCTGCCGAGTTGTCAGTTTGACTCCTATGTTCTAAAGCCAGTGGAAGAACGCTTTCAGACCTTAAATGGAAAGGTAGTTTCCTGTAAAATGTGTACTTTACAGTGGGCAGGTCCAGCCAGTTGGTATACAGGAGCCCAGATTTGTCCCATGGCAGGCAGCAATTTAAAAAGTACAACCCAATTATTAGAACAGATCATTGGATGTC